CACAGGCAAAGCAAGGGAATACCTTATTAGACTATGGTGCCCGATATTTTCATTTGTGCAACAACCATGGAGATACACCAGTTGCGTAGTGGGCCTGATCTCATTCAAGTATTTGAGGTCATCATGGGTGTCTTTGTAGTCGTTGACTGCCACCTAAACTCAAGTACCAGTGGTGTAGTAGTAAGAATATGTTTGATAAGTGATGTTCATTGAATGTGAAATTGTAGCTCAGGACAGGACTGAAGTGCAAGAGACAAGATCACGTTTTTTGCCTCTGCCACCTTTACCCTTGTTTTGCTTGATGTACTCCTTCTTCTCTTCTGGGCTCAGTTTGCTCCAATTCTTGACATTGTCACGGCAAAACCTATAGGAAGAATGACAGTCACAGCACTTGAGCTTCTTGCCGTACTGTTGAGTGAACTCAAGGTCGACCATTTCCTCGCAATCCATACACCTTGATCGAAAAGAAAATAAGTTATATTGTTTTCAAATGTTGACGTCATATGCTATGAACATAAATGAAGGTCAAAGGCACTGAGCTTTCATAGGAATTTCCGGAGGTTCTGTCATAGTCAAGAGAAACGAACCGACCCAGGATTCTGCTCGCCCCCTGAGATGGCCCTTGAACCAGCTCTGTCACACATGGACATTGAACATCAGGAAATATAAAATGATGTAAACATTGTATAGGCAGTGAAATTTCGATATATATATATATATACATATAAAAAGGACCAATTATTTCTCACTCTGCGGTCGTAGGTGTGTACGATGACTGAAGCGTTCACCTCCAAAGTCATGACATGAATTATGGTCGCTGACCACACACAAGAAATGCAAAGCTCACCAGGCCCACACAGCAGGCGTGCATTGAATTACCAGCCAGGTGACACTGCATCCTGTGGGAAAGTGATGTAATGTCTATGCTAAAAGACTGCATGACCTGTGCCGTTTCCATTGTGACTGGAAGGCCATGCAACAACAAAAGCTCAAATCCACTGGCAAAGCGCCGCCGGGGAATCATATACATACGTGCACAACCGGTCGTCAAGGTTGGCCACACTATGCTGCCCTTGCGTGGTCTCTGTTCGGGGTTCTGATACAGATCACACATATGTACATCTGGAAAGCGGCGTTGGTATCCGTCCAGTCCTTAGAACGGCTTTGGAAATGTTAACACTCACACAACAAATATGTATTGCGAACAGCAGGAGACTCAGATCTCAGGAGTGCACGTGTTTGCAAAGATGCTGTGCAGGTGTGATTCACCGTCAGTGGTAGCAACAAGTCGTCCCACGAGGATTTGCATTCCTGAACTCCTGTGTGCTTGCTCAACTTTGCGCTAATCTCCTCCAACGGGTGCGACAGTGTGATCCCCCTCCGGGTCAATAGTACATACTTTCGTGATCTGGCAATTGGGAAGTCGTAAACTTCCCTGGGATCCAATTGCAAGACACCAGCTGGAGCGTATTTCTTTCCTAACCAAGACTGATCAAAGAGTGTGCATATTGCAGTCCGCTCAAGAATAAACAAAGTGAAAGCATGGATTCAAAACAAGCATCTCAACTTGTCAAACATGATACTCTCCGGGAAGTTGAGAACGTTCTCATGAATGATCGCATCAAGATCAGTGTCCAATAATTGTTTGCACCTCACAAGGCCAACCACTTCTCGATATAGACTGTGTTTGGAGCGTGTTTTTTTTTCTGACTCGTCACCTCTGAATTAAATTAGGCGTCACTGTCAGAAACAACTTCATGGTGCGCCCTTCGAAGCCGAGTTGGTCTCCAAACCCAGTCCAATCCTAGAGAAAAGTTTGATCATTGTTTGGTAAGCACAACACTCAACAACTCACACAGTAACAACATAAAACAATTCCAAGAAAGACATATGTATATAATAAGTTAGAGTCTCAACACATGGTGTACCCAGAACGCTAAGCTTGTGCGTGCTCGAATCTGACACGGTCCGCCGCATGCAAAGCTTCTGGTGGCGATAGCAACTCAGCTTGTGAGAAATCACACGCATACATTGTCTTTTGAAACACAGTTTAAACACTTGTGTCAAGAAGCTATGTCTGGGAGTTCAAGATCACCTTCGTGTCCATGATGAGGTCAGCCAGTTCATCAAAGGTTTTCCTCGATTTGTTTTGAACTATCAACAGAAAATAATAATGTCAATATATATACAAGAAAATTATCAGGTTACTGGTCAATGCATAGTGGGTTCGTCAATGAGTTCGTCAATTCGTCAATGAGTTCGTCAATTCGTCAATGAGTTCGTCAATAACATAGTACTTCGTCAATGATTGACAAACTTTTAGTGGTGGATTGACGAACATTGACGAACCCATTCGTCAATCCATTGACGAATTGACGAACTCATTGACGAATTGACGAACTCATTGACGAATTGACGAACCTATTGGCATCTAAGAGCCTATTGATGTATATATATATGTGTGTCTAAGAATCCGCCTTTGAAATTCCACCTTCACCTTTCGATCGGTGGCATCAGGATCGCAGAGCTTCAAGAAGTTCATATAGTTGTCAGTGCCCTTGAGCTCCCAACCTTTGTGAGCCTTGCCAACCTCTTTCTTCAAAACACCCTTCTTGGTGAAGAGTGTCTCGTATTTAGACAACACCAACCTTCTGGAAGCAACCAATAGTTTATCGTCCTTCTTCTCAGTGCTCAACGCTCTGAGCAAGTCAAGCTGTGTGAGAGAGACCTCCGTGGCAAGTGGTTTGCACATACACGCTCCCCCTAAAGAAAAAAAGAACACAATAAGACTCATTGCAATACATCCATGTGAATAGCACCTTCTCAGTCACAGGTTCATCCACCGCTTCTCTCAGCTTCTCTGGCAGTACATCTAGAATATCACCAAAGATGCAGCAATCATTGGGAACTTAGATACGATGAGAGACACAATGAAACACACAAATGCTGTTACAATTTTGCAACTAAAATTCGAAACTATAGCACCACTGACTTCTCAAGCTCCGTCAAGGCCCTGACGAGATTTCAATAAAACTTCCCGACAATGAGGGTCAACATCAGCAGCAAACCTGTGTGTCGGCTGCACACCTAGCTGCGCACAAGCACTGTGCACAGAAGCCTCTGCACAGCCAGACCCTGAGAACTCTGTCACAAGTTCAACATTCTTCCATGGTGATGAGCATGATATTCCAGCTGCTTTGGCGGCAGTGTAGAAGTGGTTTGCCCACTTGAAAAGTTCACTGTTCCGCGCAACGTTGGACTCAAACATGCTTTGATTGTCTGGAAAGTCAATGTCCTCTCTATGTTGTCGTCGATTGTCATTCTCAATGTTTGCTCTCTCCTGGAAAAGGAAACTTACAGTAATTCTTCTTTTTGTACGGTGCAGTATGGTTGCAAAATAGTGAACCAAATCAAACATGTTGTGTCCTTACCACGTCGTTGATTGGCATTCCCAACATCTGCCCTCTCCTTGAAGAAAGAAAACAATCTGAACTCAGTGAAACCATATGTTCATGTTGTATCGAGTATGGTTGTAGTATGGTTGCAATACAGACTCAAATCTAAAATGATGTCCTGGCGTTTTGGATCTGGATCAGGCGCAACATCCTGCATTCCACAAGTCAAGAACACATTGCTTGTGTGCTCACAAAACAAGTTAGTGAGCCTTATCCACAGGTCGTTTCTGCGGAAGCTTGATGATGTTCATGTCCTGTGCCACATGTGATTCAAACATAGACAGGCTCCCACAATCTATGGTGCCTCCATGCTTTGAGAATCATCTCCCAATCCAGGTGGAAGTGGTGGAGATGGCTTCTCCTGCAAGAACATGTATATGTGTATATGAAAAAGGAAGAACACATCACAAGTCCTGTACAGGACGTGCACACGCAGGACGTTTCATAGAGCGCCTAGACCGGATGAACTGGTATCCTGCATTGAATCTGACATCTGAAACTCCAGCGAATGTAAATGCACGGAAACAATGTAGATAAATGAAAAATTGAATCTATGACGAAACAATGTCCTGTGTTGATAGTCCAAGAGGATGTGTGGAAATTGAAGCAGCCACCATTTCACATCTACTTTACACAAAAAGCTTGAACAACAATATCGAAGAACTGTCATTAAAAGCAAAGCGAAGTGATCAAGCGTGCCATACCCAGTCTCATCAAAACACCAGCTGTGTTAGACTGTTGTGACACAAGTTTCTGTTTGTTTGGTTTGTTTGTGTGTTTTCTTTTGAGCCCTTGAACGCGTCACAACGTTCCCCTG